ACGCATCTTACATCTTTAACCCAGCCTTTCGTGACATATGGAAAGATGTATGTTAAACCTACCCAGTGATCCTTTCAGAATCGGGAGGAAAAACAACCAACATTGTTTTTTCAAACTCAGAAGTTTGAATAGAAAAACACCAAGTAAGTGGCAGAAGATTCTTGAATTTATGCCTGCGTAGGTTTGGAGTGTTGAAAAAGCTAAAATGTTTGGTTTCACTTGGCCCTAAGGTATGGCTGAGAGAAGGCTGACTGCCGGCAGTTGAGGGTTGAGTCCGGCCGTGTTTACATGCAGGGTTCCCAAACACCAGTGGTGACACTGGGAAGCAGCCCCAGCACTTTCCTCTCCTGAGTCCTCCAGACTCAAAAATCCTTAATGTCAAACCAGGTCAGTGTTTCTTACTGTGTTTCAAGTCGTTAAAAAGACTGAGAGTAGAGGCACTTTATGCTGCTATAGGTGGGGTTCTGTCAGCGTTAGGAAAAATGACAGTTTAGGGTAAGGAAGATCTCTTCATGAGTTTTTCAAACATAGTTTTGCAAACATGAGATTTTTCAAAACATATACCAGACATTTGCCTCTAATTTTTTTTTTTTTGGTGGGGGTGCAGTATACCAAAGTAGCCAGCCAGCCAGTCACTGGGCTGTCAGTTCAAAATGTCTCATACTTCAGAGTGAGGAGGTGTTTCAGTTCCTCTGACAGAACCTGGCATGCAGGAGACACAGAGTTGTTCCTATGAGAAAACCAGTGCCCAGAGTATGAGCTGCCCAAGCCCAGTGACTCTTCCACTTCCAGTCTAATGCTTCATAGGGCACCTTGAGGCGTGCTGCCCGGTGTGGCTTAGACTAAATGTTGTTTGTTGTTGTTGTTGTTGTTGTTTGAGTCAGGGTCTCGCTGTCCCTCAGGCTGGAGTGCAGTGGCGCGATCTCAGCTCACTGCAACCTCCACCGCCCAGGTTCAAGCAATTCTCCTGCCTCAGCCTCCCAAGTAGCTGGGATTACAGGTGTACGCCACCGCACCCCACCAATTTTTGTATTTTTAGTAGAGACAGGGTTTCGCCATGTTGGTCAGGCTGGTCTTGAATTCCTGACTTCAAGTGATCTGCCCACCTGGGCCTCCCAAAGTGCTGGGATTACAGGCGTGAGCCACTGCGCCTGGCCAATGTTGAGTATTTTAAAAGTCATTTTAAAATATTTGTCATCGATGAAACTTGGTTTCAGCACACATAATTGCTTTCCCTCTCTTCCTTGTAATTAGGTGTAAACCTCTATAACTCAAGTCCTAGATTAGAATGTCCTTTGTCCTGATGTTTGCAGTAATTGCTTCCTTGGTTAATAAAGATATTTTTGAAATATACTCTGGACTGTTGGTGAAAAGAGGCAGGCGTGGCTTCACTGGTACTAGTTTGGCACTGAACTGTTTGGGTGCCCGTGAGGTGGGCAGACCTTATGCTTTTAATTTTTGAGATGGAGTCTTGCTCTGTTGCCCAGGCTGGAGCACAGTGATGCGATCTCGGCTCACTGCAACCTCTGCCTCCGAGATTCAAGCGATTCTCCTGCCTCAGCCTCCCCAATAGCTGGGACTACAGGTGTGTCCTGTAATTTCTGTATTTTTATTAGAGACTCGGCTAATTTTTGTATTTTTAGCAGAGATGGAGTTTTGCCATATTGGTCAGGCTGGTCTCGAACTCCTGACCTCAGGTGATCCACCAGCCTCTGCCTCACAAAGTGCTGGGATTACAGGCATAAGCCACCATGCCTGGCCTAGACCTTATGCTTTTGAGGTTGAGTGCAGGCCTTGTGCTAAGTGAAGTGCTACTTTTGATGAGCCTTCAACAAGCGGCCCAGTCCTCTCCTCAGCAAACTTATCAGGTTGTAGTTGCTTCTTTACAGTGGTCTTTCCTTTTATTGAATCTATAGCAGTGAATATAGATTTGATTCAACTTTTGGTTACGTTCTCTCAATCCTAATCAACTTTCATTTAGCCTCTTAAGAAAGGGAAAAGAAGGTGCTGCCAATCATCCCCAAATTATGTTTTTGGCTTTGCATTCTATTTTCTACATAGCACTGAATCTGAGTAACACAGTCATTCTGGATTTATAGTTGGAACAGAACAGTAACAGACCTAACTGGGACTCAGCCAGCACTAGCCTCATCTTAGCTGCCCCTTTTCTCTGCATTGCAGTTTACTGCTTCCCTGGGCTAGACATAACTGGGGGTTCTGGGCAGGTCAGACTCTTCAGGCAAGACAGTGTATTAGTAGTATGAATTCGATATACTGATTACCTGCTCTGCCTAGTTGAGAAACTGAATTAATCAGCAGTTACAAAGCATATACTTTGTTATGTGCTAGGCCTGGCCTATAGATAATTAAGACGGCCCGGGGAATACCATCAGAGAAGTGCTAATTGTATTTGGGTGTTACAAAAGCAGACCTAGACAAAGCTGTTCACTTAACTGGTACCTGTTAGGTCAGAAAAAGAATTTATTTAGAGATTATGATCATGTAAAATTACAGTACTCAACCCTTCTAGCAAAGTATTTTTTTGAAAAATAAACTAAATGCCTTTATAAACTTGTGTTCTCTTGTGTTGAGTAACATGTACTGTCTGGTGAGGAGTATTTTTTTCTCGTGACATTCCAGTCATGACAGAGGTCATCTAGGAAGTGAGCAGTACAGGCCCTAACCAGCTTACCCTCCGAGCAGCAGCACCATCACCCGAAGTTTCTACAATGGAGATGTTCTGTATTTGCATCTTAGCTTGACTGAGAAACTGCATGTTTAATTCTCATACTTCACTCCCATGTATTAATAGTGATTCCCTCATCTGAGTGTGCGACTGAATTTTCACTTTCTCTGGTGAAGGTGAGAAACAAGTCAGATGTTCTCCATGAGAAATAGGAAAGAATGCAGTAGACTCACATTTAGTGTTCTCAAGCCCAAGAAACACAAGATCCTCTTAAGTCACCCCCACTTTCCCTTCCCTTGAAATCATCCAGAGCATGTTTTCTGGAAAACTAACCTATTCTTCCATCAGCAGAGGTTGCCTGGTGCCTATTTTATCACTTTCACAAGAACATCTGTGTTCTCTTCACATGCAGCCATAGTTATTTCCAACTGTCAATCAGAATGCACATGCCGATTGTCCACATTATTCCTAGAACCCCCCTAGAACTCATTCATGTGTATCCAGAGTACCGGAGTTCCAGAACACAACCCTCTTTACAGGGCAGGAACGGGCAGCGACAGCAACACGTTCACCCAGCTTTACTGAGACCTGTTACAGAAGACGCTCCAAATAAAACCACTGTCTCCTGTAGAAATCTGAGTTACCTTTTACTACAAAAGAATATCAAATACATTAAATTACAGTGTGAAGGAATTTTAAAAATGAAGTGTATCATTAAATGTTTGCAAAATTTCTGGCCGGGCGCAGTGGCTCAAGCCTGTAATCCCAGCACTTTGGGAGGCCGAGGCGGGTGGATCACGAGGTCAGGAGATCTAGACTATCCTGGTTAACACGGTGAAACCCCGTCTCTACTAAAAATACAAAAAACTAGCCGGGCGTGGTGGCGGGCGCCTGTAGTCTCAGCTACTTGGGAGGCTGAGGCGGGAGAATGGCGTGAACCCGGGAGGCGGAGCTTGCAGTGAGCCGAGATCATGCCACTGCACTCCAGCCTGGGAGACACAGCAAGACTCCGTCTCAAAAAAAAAAAAAAAAAAAAAAAAAAAATGTTTGCAAAATTTCTTCCTAAGCACTTACAACTAGTTATATAGCTCTTTTAAAAATTCAGATTTCTACACTTGGTTTAACATGAAAGACATTCGCACTAAGGTACGTGAGCCCCAACTTTCACAGACTGTTGGAAGTTAGAAGGTACTTTGTTGCTAAGTGAAAAAAATTCATTTTTCCTATCAGGGAAAATTATACTAGACTTAACAGTTTTAAATGAGCAATAACTCACATATATTAGAGAGAAATCACCTCTTGCCTTATAAATACCAAAGAAATTCCCTAGACTCCCCTTCTCTGTAGAACCATGAGCTCACTGTGAAGGCTTGAGCCTCAGAAGTACAATTTGAGGAAAAAAATGAGAAACGGCTAAAACAGGAATCTCCTGCAGGAACCTTCTGTGACTGTTAAACATTCCATCTTCAAGCTCCCTTTTTAAACCCAGTCCGTTCTCAACATCACTGAAAATGAAAAGAAGAAACTCGGTGATCCTCATGTCAAGGCAGTGTTTTCACTGTCTCTTGAGAGTTTACCCCATTTCTTACTGGCAACATCTCCCCTACCCCTGAAACTATTTACAGGTTCCCTCTATGGCAAACCCTTGCCCTTTTTTTAGCTTTAGGTATAACACATCTTTTGAAAAACGTGTCAGTAAATACTCAAGCTTGGGCGTCATTTCCTGATGTGTGAAGCATGGAAGCAGTACTGTCCTGTGGCGACTGCTTTTGCACCAACTATATAGGAAGGTCCTTGGCCTCTAAGCTTGCCTTTAGAGGTTGGAATTCATAGAAAACAAATTCAGCTGTCAAACACCTGTTCCTAATTTTGTGCAAAGCAATACAACAGCACAACTCCATTTGTTGTTTTTCGTTTTGCTTTGTAGAGAAGGGGTCTTGCTATGTTGCCCAGTCTAGTCTCAAACTCCTGGCTTCACGCTGTCCTTCCTCCTCAGCCTCCCAAAGTGTTGGGATTACAGGTGTGAGCCACCATGCCTGGCCCCACCTCCATTTATTAGGCTATCTCATGCAAACTTAAAATTAAAAAAAAAAAATCCCAGGCCCCAGGCCCCAATGTAGATCATGAACCTCCTTAAGACTCAATATAGTAAAAACAAATTTTTAAATGTTTCTGTCTTTCTAAAAGTGTAGTGGTTTGGGCTAAAGACTAACCAACATTATAGATCCAATCTGTTGTCAAAGAACACAATTTCTGACCGGGTAACAAAATAAATCTGATCATCTGACACATGGCCAAGAGTCTCAGACAGTAATTAAAGGCATTCTTTTGGGTTCTGTCCTTTAATAACTTTCAGAGGCTTCCAGTTCAGTAAAGACACTGATCAAAGCTTGGTAAAAATGGGCTCGTTTGCAGACTTTTGGTGATGTTTTTCAATCAATTCAACAAGCCAAACGAGTGCTAGTCACTGACAGAGTTCTCATCACTCACTGGTTCTGGGCCAGTTTTCCATAGCCTCCTCTTCCAGCGTCATAGTCCTGCCGATACTCATCCCGAACCTTTAATGGAAAGAATCCAGAGTTACAGTATGGAAAAGAATGGTGTAACATATATGTCTCCCATAAACACGTTAGACAAACAGTGAAACCTGTTCAGATGCCATAATGTGAACATTTCAAGCAGGACATATGCACTTCAACTCATTTCAGTGCATTCTGCTTTCATTCTAGATGTTCCTGCCGGTGGAATCTAGCCCCTAGCAGAAGTTCAAGAATGGTTGCTTATTAGAAACGTACAGGACTTATATTTCAGGGTTTAAAAAATTCACCCAAACCGTTGGGTGGTTTTCAGATCCACTTCAAGCCAAGGTTATAGACACAAAGTTATTTACAAAAGAGTAAATACAAATTGCCAAAACACCTGTCATTGTGACTGGAATCCCAGGCAACGGGCTGAGCCCAGAGACCCTTCTCGCATACCTGGCCCCCAGATCGCCCACGGCCGTACTGCCTGCCCTCCTTAAAGCCTGCGTCCCAGTCTGTGCGAATGATTCGGTCATCCAGACGTGTTCCATTTATGTACCGCATGGCATTTTCGGCATCTGCACGTGAGTAATATCTTAAGTATTAAGGAACACTACCATTTTTCCAAACATTTCTGGAAATAGGGGAACAACATGTAAATGAAGCTGCATTGTTAAAAAGTACAAGAGCTAATCTAATCAGATGTAGTTCAGAGACAGCAGTTCAGCTTGCACAGGCCTGTCTGCCATGGTTTGGAAGCACAGAGAGTCAAACATGACACGTCTCCGTGGCTGCACTGATCAGATTTGTTGGACATTCCTGTTGATAATTTTTGGTCCCATCATCTCCGTATTTGGTTTGCAAAATATAAGATAATTCAGTGCAGGTTTGGACCACTGTACACTTCTTATCCAAGAAACAAGTGCTATATATTCAAGTTAGGTGCCATATATTCCAGGGCACCTTAATAAAGAGAGGGTCACAGTGCATGTGGAATTGCGCTGCGTTTCACTACAGGAAAGACTCAAGGTATCACCAGGGTAGCAGTCCCCAAACCTACTTCATCAGAGAGAGCTCCCTTTAATTAAAGGGGAGGACATTTAATCCCAGACAAATAAAAATAAGACAATGGTGTTGTGAATAAACCATCTGGAGGAACTAGTGTCTTTGATGTTAGCAGGCCAAAATAAAATCTCTTTTCATTCTAGCATTTGGGAAACCCACATATCCCCAAGGCAAGCCAGCAATCTGGGAGAGATGCCCTGCCTGGGTCCAGTGAGTCAGCATTCTTGTCCTTAATTATGAGCAGAAATCCAGGGATCACCAGACACTTAAGGAAAAATTTCATCTGAAACAAATGTAATTCAGGACACAGGAAAAAACTCAAAAGATACATTAGATTGGGTCTGCAAAATTTCTCAGGATACTAAATTGAATGACCAAAACAGAGAGTAAAAAGAACATAGAATAAATCCAGGAGGTACAATGCTTAAAAGAGTCTGAGTAAGAAAATGATCACAAGTAAATAGTTTTGGTTTGTACCTATACAATCAGCTTATACACACCTATGTAATGAATTACGATATAGCTATTAAAACATTTTTTTCTTTAAAGATGGGGTCTTGCCCCGTCACCCTGGCAGGAGCAGTCACAACTCAGTGTAGCCTTGGACCCTTGGGCTCAACTGATCCTCCAGCCTCAGCCTCCTGAGTAGCTGGCACTACAAATACGAGCCACCATGCCCAGCTATACGGCTATTTTGAAAACAGACCTACATGTGCTGAAATGGAACAATAAATAAATAATAAATGATTTTAAAAACAGCACATGAAGTACACTACTGCACACCCACAGGTTACTTCTTGAGAGATGCTCAAGAAACTGGTAACTGCCTCTGGCAAAGGGAATTAGGGGTTTAGAACAGTACAAGGTTTTTATATTTTCACTGTGCTCTTTGGAATTTTTTTTTTTTTTTTTAATGAAGGGCAAACATTCTTGAAAAACTTTTTCTTTTTTTTTTGGAGACGGAGTCTCGCTCTGTCGCCCAGGCTGGAGTGCAGTGGCCAGATCTCAGCTCACTGCAAGCTCCGCCTCCCGGGTTCACGCCATTCTCCTGCCTCAGCCTCCCGAGTAGCTGGGACTACAGGCGCCCGCCACCTCACCCGGCTAGTTTTTTTTGTATTTTTTAGTAGAGACGGGGTTTCGCCGTGTTAGCCAGGATGGTCTCGATCTCCTGACCTCGTGATCCGCCCGTCTCGGCCTCCCAAAGTGCTGGGATTACAGGCTTGAGCCACCGCGCCCGGCCTGAAAAACTTTTTCTTAAACAACCATAAAGCATGGATTTCAGGAGAGAATGTAACTAGTGTCAGCTTTATAGTATAAGAGCAGTGACGGCCGGGCGCGGTGGCTCAAGCCTGTAATCCCAGCACTTTGGGAGGCCGAGATGGGCGGATCACGAGGTCAGGAGATCGAGACCATCCTGGCTAACACGGCGAAACCCCGTCCCTACTAAAAAAAAAAAAAATACAAAAACTAGCCGGGCGACGTGGCGGGCGCCTGCAGTCCTAGCTACTCCGGAGGCTGAGGCAGGAGAATGGTGTAAGCTCGGGAGGCGGAGCTTGCAGTGAGCTCAGATCCGGCCACTGCGCTCCAGCCTGGGCGACAGAGCCAGACTCTGTCTCAAAAAAAAAAAAGAGCAGTGACACTGGACAGAAGGTAGGAGGGAGACGAGGGAAAACGTAGGGGCAAGTGCAGGGAGGATTATGAGCTACTATTCTCAGCTCTACCCCAGTTCAGCAGCCACATTCCATCCACAGGAAGGATACTCCACAAAACAGAATCCACATGCTGTTTTCTTCATTTTATCCAGACCCATAATGATTTTCTTTATGTCACCACTTTTGCTGAAGAGTTCGTAGATTTGTTCTTCGGTTGTGTAAAAAGAAAGATTTCCAACATATAACGTACAGCTTTTCTTCAGTAATTTTTCTTGTTCTTCATTGTCACCCTAGAATTTCAAAGAGAGACAAAAGTTAAGCAACTTAAGAGCCTTGCTTAAATAGTATTTCTAAGTATGGTAGAAACATTCATTAATTCTGATTTGGAAATCAAATTCTCTCATCCCAGCCTACCACAAATCCCTTGCTCAAAAAAAGGGAGATGTTCACATCCTGTGAAGCACTTATGCAAAGTCCAGACTCTTAGTAGAAACAAGGCTCAAAAGTTATACCGCATACAGCAAAGTCACCCTACGCCAGACTGCCACACAAGCGGCTTTTTTCCCTGCACACGCCATCTTCTCAGCAGTGCATCCTTTCAACCAAGGTTAAACTCTGGACCTTGACCCATGTATGACAAAGGGCCCTTTTATACTCTGTAGTGAGAAATAAGTGGATTTCCAGAGAGTCCCCTTTTAATAACCCCATAGAGACTGTTTAAAGCAACAACTCTGATGCTTTACATGCTCATGTATTTTTTCTGAATTGAGGAAAAAAATGTAGTGATCACTAAAAACAAAACAGAGCTCACTTTCCTAATGGGCTTCCAAACTGGGATGACACGATGAAGCCAGAGATAAGAATATAACTGGGCTTCATCCAACACACCTGACAAATCCCTGGATCCAAAATGGCTCATCAGGGTCGCGCACAGCGGCTCACGCCTGTAATCCCAGCACTTTGGGAGGCCGAGGCGAGCGGATCACGAGGTCAGGAGATCGAGACCATCCTGGCTAACACGGTGAAACCCCGTCTCTACTAAAAAACAAAAACAAAAACAAAAACATTAGCCGGGCGTGGTGGCGGGGCCTGTAGTCCCAGCTCGCCAGGAGAATGGCGTGAACCCGGGAGGCGGAGCTTGCAGTGAGCCGAGATCGTGCTACTGCACTCCAGCCTGGGTGACAGAGCCAGACCCCGTCTCAAAAAAAGTGCAAATCATGCCTGGCACTTAAGCATCTAAAACCTGGACTGGCCGGGGTCAGTGGTTCACGTCTGTAATCCCAGCACTTTGGGAAGCCCAGGCTGGTGGATCGCTTGAGTCCCAGAGTTTGAGACCGGCCTGAGCAACTCAGGGAGACCCTGTCTCTACAAAAAATTAGCCGGATGTAGTGTGAGAGCCTGTGGTCCCAGCTTCTCAGGAGGCTGAGGTGGGGAGGATCACTTGGGCTCAGGAGGTTGAGGCTGCATGAGCCGTGATTGCGCCACTGCACTTCAGCCTAGGCAATAGAGCGAGATTCTGTCTCAAAAAATAAAATAAATTGACCGAATTTTTTTTTTTTTTTTTTTTTTAAGTAGGAATCTCGCTCTGTTGCCCAGGCTGGAGTGCGGTGGCGCGATCTTGGCTCACCGCAACCTCCACCTTCCGGGATCAAGCAATTCTCCTGCCTCAGCCTTCCGAGTAGCTGGGACTACAGGCGCCGCCACCACGCCCGGCTAATTTTTGTATTTTTAGTAGGGATGGGGTTTCACCATCTCGGCCAGTCTGGTCTCGATCTCCTAACCTCGTGATCCACCCGCCTCAGCCTCCCAAAGTGCTGGGATTACAGGCATGAGTCACCGTGCCCGGCCTCGACTGAATAAATTTCAGAGCTTCCCTAATTTGGCGTCAAAGTTTCCTTTTCCCTACTCTAGTAACATATTTCACACGTTCTCCACACTGACCTCTGCTATATGCGCCCCCTCATTTCCCAGTCACAAGGGGATTTCTCCCCTTTTTCTGAATTCTCACAGCCTCTCTTTTAACTCACTTCTACCTTAGATTCTTTGATAATCCACACTACAGGGGATTATGAGCTCGCAGAGTGCAGAAACTGTCTTCCCTTCCCCCCAGGGTTTAGCACAAGGCTTTGGTGACAGCACTCAACAAATGTTTACTAAATAACCGGGTTAATGAGTCCCGCGCCGCCACCCCTCAACCGTATTCCATCCCTACCTTTGCTGATACTGAAAAGCCTACTTTGTATATCTGCGGCCTCCCCTTTTTCCACAAAACATACTGTGATATAGTCCGGACTAAAAATTTCTCTCTTCTGAAATCCAGCAATTCTCCGATCTTCACATCCAAACACCCTCAAAGTGCCCAGCTTGGCGGGTCCCCCTCCCCACTCCGAAGCCTCCCCGAGGGCGGAGTGAGGACTTCACTTGTGTCTCCCACGCACCGCGTACAGCTTCCCTAAGACCATCCTCCCAGAGAAGGGCACTGCTTCGCCGATTTAAAAAAGAACGTAGGCCGGGCGCGGTGGCTCACACCTGTAATCCCAGCACTTTGGGAGGCCGAGATGGGCGGATCACGAGGTCAGGAGATGGAGACCATCCTGGCTAACACAGTGAAACCCCGTCTCTACTAAGAAATACAGAAAAACTAGCCGGGCGAGGCGGTGGGCGCCTGTAGTCCCAGCTACTCGGGAGGCTGAGGCCGGAGAATGGCGTAAACCCGGGAGGCGGAGCTTGCAGTGAGCTGAGACCCGGCCACTGCACTCCAGCCTGGGCTACAGAGCGAGACTCCGTCTCAAAAAAAAATAAATAAATAAAATAAATAAAAAAAATAAAAAAGAACGTAAAAAGCCCCGAATCTGCATCAAGAAGGCGCCTCTGCACACTCTGGGAGAGAGAAGGGCACCCCGCCCTTGTTACGCAGCCATCTGCGAGGTACAACCTGGAAACGGGAGCCGCCACTACCATCAGCGCTCAGGCCTCTCGGCACCGGCTCGGGTGCAGGGAGCGGCTGGAGGGAACAGGAAAGCGAGCCTCAAATGCCCTGTCTTCCAGAGCCAGCGGCTTCAGTGATGTCCAAGCGCCCCCCCAGCACCCGCTCCCTGCCTCCCCAGCCGGCACCGGGGCCCCACTTGGCGTTTGGGGATTGCAGCAGAACGGGAGGCGACACAATGAGACAAGAGCAAACCGTTTCTCAGCGTTCTGGCCCAGGGCCTTCCCCTCTCGCGGCCCGGCCTCCCTCACCCGGAAGTGCTGGTCCCGGTACTGGCTCAGCTCCACGTAGGAGTCGCTGCGCAGCGCCTTCAGGAGGCCACCCGACATAGCGCAGAGAAGCGGACGAGGACGCGGCGATTCCCGGCACGAGGTGGCGTCTGCCGTGGCGGAAGCGGAAACGCGCGGAAGCGCGCATCTCATTGGACCCAATCCGAGGGCGGCAGTGTCGTCATCAAGCTGCGCGGGCGCAGATGACGTCCGGGTCGGGCGCCGCCGGGCGGAAGACTAGGGCGGCGAGGTCGGATTCCCGGGCGCTTGGGGAAGATGGTGCTTCGGCGGCTGCTGGCGGCCCTGCTGCACAGCCCGCAGCTGGTGGAACGCCTGTCCGAGTCTCGGCCTATCCGACGTGCGGCGCAGCTCACGGCCTTCGCTCTGCTGCAGGCCCAGCTGCGGGGCCAGGACGCGGCCCGCCGCCTGCAGGACCTCGCGGCTGGCCCCGCAGGCTCCCTGTGCCGCCGCGCTGGGCGATTCAGAGACACCTTCACCCAGGAGCTACGCCGCGGCCTCCGTGGCCGTTCGGGGCCACCACCAGGTAGCCAGAGGGGCCCTGGCGCAAACATTTAAGCCTGGGCTGTGCGGGGCCGAGGCCTTTACTTTGCCTTCCGGGCTCTACACTGGCCTCGACGTGGAGGGGTCGTTCCGGGCACTGCGCGCGGCTTCGAACCCCGACTCGGATTGTTGGCCTGCAGACATCCCACGCAGAAGAGCCTAGGCCAGACCGCAGGCTCCGCTGAAGTCCTGTGATTGGACAAGACACCGTGTGGAGAAAGACCCCGAAGCCTAACAGAGATGAAGATAGGCTGGGTCCAGACACCGCACCCGCGGAGAGCCACGGACCGAAGCCAGAGAGCCTTTCCTCTGCAGATGGAACTGACACTCTTGACAGATGCTGCTGAATCTGCACTGGTGTAGCAGGACACTTAATTCCAGGGACGATGTGAATGAAAAGACAACCCTACAACTGCCAAATTCTTTTGATTAAAAAAATGTATGAGCTGGTTAATAGGCATGAGTGTGATACTTCTCAGGCAAGATATATTGAGAATACCGGGGACTGTAGGCCTATGGCAATAATAAACACGTATTTTATGAAATGAGTATTTTGTGCTGGGAGTTGCTCATTGCACTCTGCGTGTTATTTCGCTTACTCCTTACAACCACATCCGCATGAGCAAGCAGATTACTTTTTGGATTTTTTTGTAGAGATGGGGTAGTCTCGAACTCTTGGGTCCGAGTGATCGTCCTGCCTCAGCCTCCCAAAATGCTGGGATTAGAGGCAAGAGCCACTCCGATGGAAACAGAGGCTGCTGCTTAAGTTGCCCAAAGTCTTGCAGAGTGGGATGTGAGCAGAGGCATTTGATTCCAGGGCCTAAGTCCTTAACACAGCTCTGCAAGATTTACCCTGATACTTTCCTTCCTTCCCCAACCCCCCATCATCAGGCATTAAGACTACTGCCTAGGAGCAGGCGTGGTGGCAGTTGTGTCTAATCCAAGCCACTGCAGAGGAAGGAGGATCGCATGAGCCTGAGATGAGACCAGCCTGGGCAGCATAGCGAGAACCTGTCTCAAAAATAAAAAAAGACTGCTGCCTGCCATGGAATGAGCTACCTGGACTCATCCCTCATTTTAGAGGGTCAGGCATACGAAACTAAGACTATGGTCCAGCAAGTTAGTGGACCCATGATTAGGAAATCCACTGTATATACAAATGTCTTGTCATTTGAAGCTCCTAGCTAAATTTCTGATTTATTTATTTATTTTGAGACAGGGCCTCACTCTTGCCCAGGGTGGAGTGCAGTGGCATGATACTAGCTGTCACTGCAACCTCGACCTATTGGGCCAAGTGATCGAGCTTCCTCCCTGGGTCTCCCAAGTAGCTGGGATTACAGGCCCATGACACTATGCGCAGCTAATTAAAAACAGGTTTTTTTGTTTTTGTTTTTGAGACAGAGTCTTACTTTGTCACCAGGCTGGAGTGCAGTGGCGTGATCTCGGCTCACTGCAACGTCCACCTCCCGGGTTCAAGTGATTCCCCTGCCTCATCCTCCCGAGCAGCTGGGATTACAGATGTGCGCCACCATGCCTGGCTAGTTTTTTGTATTTTAGTAGAAATGGAGTTTCACCATGTTGGTCAGGATGGTCTTGATCTCCTGACCTTGTGATCTGCCTGCCTCAGCCTCCCAAAGTGCTGGGATTACAGGCATGAGCCACCGTGCCCAGCCACAATTTTGTTTTGTTTTGTTTTGTGTTTTATGGTTGAAATGGCATTGCACTTTGTTTCCCAGGCTGGTCCTGAACTCCTGGTCTCAAGCAGTTCTCCTGCTTCTGCCTCCCAAAGTGCTGGGATTACTGGTGTGAGCCACCACACCCAGATCTGATCATTTCTAATTAGGCAACACAGATAATCATGCAATCTAGAAGCTTGAAGCCATCGGAAAAATTGAGGCTGGTAACCAGACACTAGCTGAGCATGGTGTGTTCCCTGCTCTCTGGGGCAGGATGGGAGGGCTTGAGACCCACAGTTCTTCTAAGGAGGGAGAACATCTGGCTCCCTAATCTGGGAGAATGACTTTTTTTTTTCCCCCCAAGACCGTCTCGCTGTGTCTCCCAGGCGGGAGTGAGTGGCGCGATCTCGGCTCACTGCAACCTCCGCCTCCTGGGTTCAAGCCATTCTCCTGCCTCAGCCTCCTGAGCAGCTGGGACCACAGGCGCCGCCACCACACCCAGCTAATTTTTGTATTTTTAGTAGAGACAGGGTTTCACCATGTTGGCCAGGCTGGTCTCAACTCCTGACCTCGAGATCTGCCCGCCTTGGCCTCTCAAAGTACTGGGATTACAGGTGTGAGCCACCACGCCCAGTCAGGAGAATGACTCTTAAGGACAAGGTGCAGAAATGGCTGGAGAGTTTCCCACCACCTCTCAGGAACAGGAGTAAAAGAAAGTAGGGAGAAAATCTCCAGGTGCAATTATATATTTCAAACATTACTTGTTTGCAAACACTGAGACAGCAGGCATCAGAGGGCCATGAAGTACAACACAACTCCCACTTCCATGCTTAAAGAGCTTTGTGAGAGCTGTGCCTGTCGAGGACGGGGGACGTGTACTGTGGATTCCAGGAATGACACGATGTTAGCTGGCAGACACCTCAAAGATCCTCTGATCCCAACAGACTGGGAAGTGGGGTGGGAGAGTGGAAGGGGCTTTCTCAAGATCACACAGCGAGGGGGTGACAGACCAAGGGGCTAGAAGTTGGGTCCCCTGGATCTGGGCCACCTGTTCTCTATACTTCATCACACTGACTTCCACATTATTTGGATAGGCAGATCGGTCTCAGGAAGCCAGAGGTTGTCATGACAGCAAGGGCAAGGCATCATGGGAAGTTTGGGAGAGGTCGCTGGGGAATGTCACTGGCAGTTCATTCTTTTTCCCAACCAGGTACTATTACATGTTTCAAACATCACAGTGGCTGGAAGCAGTAGGGCAGGAACCGACAGGTGTCATCACTTACACCTGGTTCTTTGGGGACCTTGACATCAGGACTGACAGGTCAGATCTTTGGTCTCAGGGAGAGGAGTGCCAGCTCACCCAGAAGGCAGAACAGCCGTGCCCAGGAGAGGCAGCAGTGGGAGTCGTGAAGGAGAACCTGGGCCCTGTCCCCGCGTCCCAGCCCAGCTACCCAAGTAGAAGGTGGGGCAGCGACTTCTATGGCTGAATCGTGGGCGGTGGGTGCCCTGTCATATTGTCAGGTTTCTTCCCCCAGCTCCACGATGTGAAGACTGAGGTGGTCCCTCCAAGCCCCACTCAGCAAGGAGGACAGGGCTGGTGGATCCTCCAGGGTTAGATGGGGAAATACAAGTGTTTCATTCTTGAAGGGGAAGCTGCACTTCTCCACGGCACCCCTGGTGGTGCCAGGGGTCACCACAAAGACGCGGCAGAGCCATGGCCCACCAGCCACTTGGCAGGCTGGTTGTCTGGTAAAGCTTTTCAGGGCTTGGCACAGGACCCAGTCCTCAGTCCCACCCATGTCCACCACCTCCACTGGTGCCCCCAGGCCTGGGAGGTGGAGGAGGTGCCGGGGGGGCATGTAGGTGTGAGTGAAGAGGAGTGTGTAGTGGGTGGGTGCGCTTGGGAGCACAGGGGCATGGACCACCTGCTCCAGGTACTCCAGGCCAGGCACCAGGCCCCCCTGATGCAGGCAGCCGAAGAAGAAGGCACCGAGGGCATTGAAGAGGACCACGGTGCCCTTCCAAGGCACAGGTTGGGTCTGCGGACTACAAAGCAGGACTAGGGGGACCAGGAGGGGAATCAGGAACCGAGCCTCCTGGTGGCTAAAGGCAGACAGCAGGGCTAGGGGCATGAAGTAAAGGAGAAGGAGATAGGACCTGGGGCTGGACAGCAGGCTCCAGGCACCCAGTGCCCTCAGGAGGCCCATTTGTAAAGAGGCCTGGAGGCCAGCTTGCAGCTGTTGCCACGCGGCCTGCAGGGCCTGGGCATGCAGTACCCCAAAGAGCAGGAAGCCATTGACTGCCAGGTGAGTGAGCCGCACATGCGTGCCATGCCTCGCCAGGTTTTGGGGATTCAGGTTGTAGTGCAAGAAGTTGACAGGTGTAAGGACAAGGGTCCTGGATGTAGCGGAGCTGGAGAAATACCAGCTGTCCATGGCCACAAACACCACTGCTGTGAGGGCCGCCCCAGGGAGCAGCACCAGGGCCTCCCGGGTCAGGGACTTCAAGCCAGGGTTTGTGGCTCCACGAGTGCCCCAGAGGTAGAGAGGGACCACAGCAAAGGCCAGAAAGGTGGGCCGGTTGAAGAAGCCAGCAGTCACGATGCCTCCAAGAAGCCAGCTGTGCCACCATGGACCCGGCACAGGCTCCTTGCATGTAGGGCCCCACATTACATGGGGGGATACCAGCACCAGCAGCCACGCGAAGAGGAGTCCCTCAATGGTGTTGGAGAAGGTCCTTGTGTAGAAGACCAGGGTGACGTAGGAACCAGAGAGCAGGGCCAGGGCATTCCAGCGATCCGCCCCCAACAGTGGGGCCAGGTGGTACACCACCCCGTCCAGAGCGAAGGAAAGGGCAGCGAGGAGGAGTCGCGGCCCCACCAGCAGCGCATAGCTACTCACCAGGCCAGGCCACGGCCCCAGCTCTCCCCAGAGCCTGAGCAGCCAGAAGGTAGAGCCGGAGGTCAGCAGGGGGAAGACCACTGTGCGGCAGGGGCTGCTGGGGTAAAACTCCCAGGGCCGGGTGGCCTGCACGCCCAGGATGTCCTCTGCAGAGAAGGAGAGGCAGAGCTGAGCCAGTACCAAGCTCAGGGATGTAGTGGGCAAAATTCTAGGGTGGCACCCAGCATTTCCACCCCTTGGTGTGTGTGCCCTGCATAATCCCTGGGACTGTGCCCTGGATGGATTTTTCCCTCCCTCCCTGCCTTCCCTCCCTCTCTCCCTCCTTCCTTCCCTTCCCTTCTTTCCCTTCCCCTCCCTTCTTTCCCTTCCCATTCCTTCCTTTCCCATCCTTCCCTTCCTTCCCTTCCCGTTCCTTCCCGTTCCTTCCCGTTCTTCCTGTTCCTTCATTTCCCTTCCTCCCTTCCTTGCTGGGTCTCTGTCACCCAGGCTGGAGTGCAGTGGCGAGATCATTGCTCTTGCTGTGTTACTGAGGCTGATCTCAGACTCCTGACTTCAAGCGATTCTTCCACCTCAGCCTCTTATCATGCTGGGATTACAGGTTTGAGCCACTGCACCTGGCCCCCAGGATGCAATGTACTCCTGTGATTAGGTTACGTCATACAGGAGCACTGACTGTAAAACAGGGAGACTATGCGGTGGGCCGGACCTAATCACGACAATATTTTAATAACAGAGTTTTCATCAGCTGGATGCAGAAGGGGCAGTCAGATTCAAAGCATAAGAAGGATTTGACATGCCACTGCTGGCTTAAAGATGGAAGAGGCCATTGGCTAGGAATGTGGGTAGCCTCTGAAAGCTAAGAGCAAGGAAACCGCACCATAGGTTCCACAGCTGAAATGAACTAGATTCTGCTAGAATTAGAGAGCTTCCAGACAAGAACTCAGCCCAGTCCATACACTGATGTCTGCCTTGTGAGCAGAGAGCTCATGCCGCACTTCTGATCGTCAACTCACGAATGGGTGCAGTTTTAAGCTGCTGGGATTTTGATGATTTGTCACGCAGCAGCAGAAACAAGTGCAGGGGAGCTCAGAGGGCAGAGGGCAAGAGGTACCTCCCTGGGAGATGAGGCGGCTGTGTGTCCTGGGAAGAGTGTGTGGGAGGCGGGCAGGTGGGGGGAGGCCTAACCTCTTCTCAGGGTTCCAAGATCTCAAAAATCAGAGTCAGAGCCCCATCTCTGATGATTGTTATCAGGAGATGGGGGGAGAGAAGAGGGGGAGGGGCTGAGCCATTGGGGTTATGTCAGAGGTGATTTATGTTTAGTCTTATGATACTTAATTTTTTTTTTTTTTAGAGTCTCACTCTGTCGCCCAGGCTGGAGTGCAGTGGCGCTATCTCGGCTCACTGCAACCTCCACGTCCTGGGTTTAAGCGATTCTCCTGCCTCAGCCTCCTGAGTAGCTGGAATTACAGGCGCCTGCCACTGCACCCGGATGATTTTTGTATTTTCAGTAGAGATGGGGTTTCACCATGTTGGCTAGCCTGGTCTCCAACCCCTGACCTCAAATGATCCACCTGCCTCAGCCTCCTAAAGTGCTGGGATTACAGGCCTGAGCCACTGTGCCCTGACTATGATACTTAAATTTTTTATAAGAAGAATATATCCAAGTAGTACTTACATAATTTAAGAAATACTTGCTGCCTGGTCTGTAACCTGTGCCAGAGCTCTGAGGGCGGGGGTGAGGGGGCAGCTCATCAGAGCTCTGAGGGTGGGGCTGAGGGGGCAGCTCCACATCAGAGCTCTGGGGGGTGGGGGTGAGGGGGCAGCTCCACATCAGAGCTCTGGGGGGTGGGGGTGAGGGGGCAGCTCCACATCAGAGCTCTGGGGGGTGGGGGTGAGGGGGCAGCTCCACTCCAAGCCTCGTTGTTCATAGCGTCTCCTGCTTGATCACCTGCTGGCTGTTTCGAGCTGATTATACAGCCTGGGGATCATTCGGGTTCTTTGGTTCTGCTACTTATTTCTCCAGCCTTTCAGCTGTTTTATCTGTCTATGTTAGATGGTGAAAGGGAGGCAAAATCCAGGATCAAATCTATCTGGGTGTTTTTCTGGTTAAAAAAAAAACATGTGAGGGAAAGAAGATAAGCCTTTTAACTAAAAAACAAATTCACCTGTTGAGCCCTGTGGCAAAGAAAGCTGGTGCCTCCAAAATACCTATTCCCTCCTCCTTCCTTAGACTCTTTTTTGAGACGGAGTTTCACTCTGTTGCCCAGGCTGGAGTGCAGTGGCACAATCTCAGCTCACTGCAACCTCCGCCTCCTGAGTTCAAGCGATTCTCCTGCCTCAGCCTCCCAAGTAGCTGGGATTACAGGCACCTACCACCACGCCCAGCTAATTTCTTGTATTTTTAATAAAGATGGGGTTTTATCATGTTGGCCAGACTGGTCTCAAACTCCTGACCTCAGGCGATCCGCCTGCCTCAGCCTCCCACAGTGCTGGGATTACCGGCGAGAGCCTCCGGAGGCCACAGTGCTGGGATTACCGGCGAAAGCCTCCGCATCCGACCCCTTTGGCTCTTTAGCTGGGCACTTGCTCAGACAGAAAGACTATAATTTTTAGCTTCCTTAGCAGCTAGGTGTGGTCTCATGATACATTCTGCCCAGTGCGATAGAAATGGGCAAACAGCATGCGACCTTCAAAATATGACCTTAAAGAAAGAAGTAATGCCTTCTCCTTTGTTGGCTGGAAAGACTGCGTGTAGACTTGATGGCTGGAGCTCAAGCAGCCGTCTTGAACCATGAGGATGAAGCCACATGCCCATCACATCTGAAAGGCCTCAAGGCCTTTGGGTGAGATGGCACGGGCAAGGCAACTATCCTCAACTATACCACCTAACAGGCAACTGAGTGTCCCAGGTACGGGTTCCCTCACCCCTCACTTGAATCTACAGAAGTTTCATCATCTCAGATCACAGCCCTATGGAAGCTCTTGCCAAAAACTGGGGAAGCCCAGCTGTAAAAGTTTCCCACTGGGAAGCCCAACACAGCTCTCATTCCCACCAACAACACAGCTCTCATTCTCACCAACACAGCTCTCATTCTCACCAACAACACAGCTCTCATTCTCAGTGACACAGCTCTCATTCCCACCAACACAGTTCTCATTCCCACCAACAACACAGCTCTCATTCTCACTGACACAGCTCTCATTCCCACCAACACAGTTCTCATTCCCACCAACAACACAGCTCTCATTCCCACCAACACCACAGCTCTCATCCTCACCAACAACACAGCTCTCATTCCCACCAACACCACAGCTCTCATTCTCACCAACAACACAGCTCTCATTCCCACCAACACAGCTCTCATTCCCACCAACACAGCTCTCATTCCCACCAACACAGTTCTCATTCCCACCAACAACACAGCTCTCATTCCCACCAACACCACAGCTCTCATTCTCACCAACAACACAGCTCTCATTCCCACCAACACCACAGCTCTCATTCTCACCAACAACACAGCTCTCATTCTCACCAACAACACAGCTCTCATTCCCACCAACAACACAGCTCTCATTCTCACCAACAACACAGCTCTCATTCCCACCAACACAGCTCTCATTCCCACCAACACAGCTCTCATTCCACAACACAGCTCTCATTCCCACCAACAACACAGCTCTCATTCCCACCAACAACACAGCTCTCATTCTCACCAACAACACAGCTCTCATTCCCACCAACACAGCTCTCATTCCACCAACACAGCTCTCATTCCCACCAACACAGCTCTCATTCCCACCAACACAGCTCTCATTCCACAACACAGCTCTCATTCTCACCAACAACCAGCTCTCATTCTCACCAACACACAGCTCTCATTCTCACCAACACAGCTCTCATTCCACCAACACAGCTCTCATTCCACCAACACACAGCTCTCATCTCCACCAACAACACAGCTCTCATTCTCACCAACACAGCTCTCATTCCCACCAACACAGCTCTCATTCCCACCAACACAGCTCTCATTCCACCAACACAGCTCTCATTCTCACCAACACAGCTCTCATTCTCACCAACACAGCTCTCATTCTCACCAACACAGCTCTCATTCTCACCAACACAGCTCTCATTCCACAACACAGCTCTCATTCCCACCAACACAGCTCTCATTCCCACCAACACAGCTCTCATTCCACCAACACAGCTCTCATTCCCACCAACAACACAGCTCTCATTCTCACCAACAACACAGCTCTCATTCTCACCAACAACACAGCTCTCATTCTCACCAACACACAGCTCTCATTCTCACCAACACCCTCATCCAACAACACAGCTCTCATTCTCACCAACAACACAGCTCTCATTCTCACCAACACAGCTCTCATTCTCACCAACACAGCTCTCATTCCCACCAACAACACAGCTCTCATTCCCACCAACACAGCTCTCATTCTCACCAACAACACAGCTCTCATTCTCACCAACAACACAGCTCTCATTCCACCAACACAGCTCTCATTCCCACCAACAACAGCTCTCATTCTCACCAACACAGCTCTCATTCTCACCAACAACACAGCTCTCATTCTCACCAACACAGCTCTCATTCTCACCAACACAGCTCTCATTCTCACCAACAACACAGCTCTCATTCCCACCAACACAGCTCTCATTCCCACCAACAACACAGCTCTCATTCCCACCAACAACACAGCTCTCATTCCCACCAACACAGCTCTCATTCCCACCAACAACACAGCTCTCATTCTCACCAACAACACAGCTCTCATTCTCACCAACAACACAGCTCTCATTCTCACCAACAACACAGCTCTCATTCCCACCAACAACACAGCTCTCATTCTCACCAACAACACAGCTCTCATTCTCACCAACACAGCTCTCATTCCCACCAACAACACAGCTCTCATTCCCACCAACACAGCTCTCATTCCCACCAACAACACAGCTCTCATTCCCACCAACACAGCTCTCATTCTCACCAACAACACAGCTCTCATTCTCACCAACAACACAGCTCTCATTCTCACCAACACAGCTCTCATTCTCACCAACACAGCTCTCATTCTCACCAACAACACAGCTCTCATTCCCACCAACACAGCTCTCATTCCCACCGACAACACAGCTCTCATTCTCACCAACAACACAGCTCTCATTCTCACCAACAACACAGCTCTCATTCTCACCAACACAGCTCTCATTCCCACCAACAACACAGCTCTCATTCTCACCAACAACACAGCTCTCATTCTCACCAACACAGCTCTCATTCCCACCAACAACACAGCTCTCATTCCCACCAACACAGCTCTCATTCTCACCAACAACACAGCTCTCATTCCCACCAACACAGCTCTCATTCTCACCAACAACACAGCTCTCATTCCCACCAACAACACAGCTCTCATTCTCACCAACAACACAGCTCTCATTCTCACCAACACAGCTCTCATTCTCACCAACAACACAGCTCTCATTCCCCCACCCAACAACACAGCTCTCATTCTCACCAACACAGCTCTCATTCCCACCAACAACACAGCTCTCATTCTCACCAACAACACAGCTCTCATTCTCACCAACAACACAGCTCTCATTCTCACCAACACAGCTCTCATTCTCACCAACAACACAGCTCTCATTCTCACCCAACACAGCTCTCATTCTCACCAACAACACAGCTCTCATTCCCACCAACACAGCTCTCATTCCCACCAACAACACAGCTCTCATTCCCACCAACACAGCTCTCATTCCCACCAACAACACAGCTCTCATTCCCACCAACACAGCTCTCATTCTCACCAACAACACAGCTCTCATTCCCACCAACACAGCTCTCATTCTCACCAACAACACAGCTCTCATTCCCACCAACACAGCTCTCATTCTCACCAACAACACAGCTCTCATTCTCACCAACACAGCTCTCATTCCCACCAACACCACAGCTCTCATTCTCACCAACACAGCTCTCATTCTCACCAACACCACAGCTCTCATTCTCACCAACACAGCTCTCATTCTCACCAACAACACAGCTCTCATTCTCACCAACAACACAGCTCTCATTCTCACCAACACAGCTCTCATTCCCACCAACACAGCTCTCATTCTCACCAACAACACAGCTCTCATTCTCACCAACAACACAGCTCTCATTCTCACCAACAACACAGCTCTCATTCTCACCAACACAGCTCTCATTCTCACCAACACAGCTCTCATTCTCACCAACAACACAGCTCTCATTCTCACCAACACAGCTCTCATTCTCACCAACACAGCTCTCATTCCACCAACACAGCTCTCATTCTCACCAACACAGCTCTCATTCCCACCAACACAGCTCTCATTCCCACCAAACACAGCTCTCATTCCCACCAACACAGCTCTCATTCCCACCAACACAGCTCTCATTCTCACCAACACAGCTCTCATTCTCACCAACAACACAGCTCTCATTCTCACCAACAACACAGCTCTCATTCCCACCACCTCACCACCAACACAGCTCTCATTCCACCAACACAGCTCTCATTCTCACCAACAACACAGCTCTCATTCTCACCAAAACCACAGCTCTCATTCTCACCAACAACACAGCTCTCATTCTCACCAACAACACAGCTCTCATTCTCACCAACACAGCTCTCATTCCCACCAACACAGCTCTCATTCTCACCAACAACACAGCTCTCATTCTCACCAACACAGCTCTCATTCTCACCAACACAGCTCTCATTCTCACCAACACAGCTCTCATTCTCACCAACAACACAGCTCTCATTCTCACCAACAACACAGCTCTCATTCCCACCAACACAGCTCTCATTCCCACCAACACAGCTCTCATTCTCACCAAAAACACAGCTCTCTTTCCCACCAACACAGCTCTCATTCCCACCAACACAGCTCTCATTCTCACCAACACAGCTCTCATTCTCACAAACAACACAGCTCTCATTCTCACCAACAACACAGCTCTCATTCTCACCAACAACACAGCTCTCATTCCCACCAACAACACAGCTCTCATTCTCACCAACAACACAGCTCTCATTCCCACCAACACAGCTCTCATTCTCACCAACAACACAGCTCTCATTCCCACCAACACAGCTCTCATTCTCACCAACAACACAGCTCTCATTCCCACCAACACAGCTCTCATTCTCACCAACAACACAGCTCTCATTCCCACCAACACAGCTCTCACTCTCACCAACAACACAGCTCTCATTCCCACCAACACAGCTCTCACTCTCACCAACAACACAGCTCTCATTCTCACCAACAACACAGCTCTCATTCTCACCAACACAGCTCTCATTCTCACCAACAACACAGCTCTCATTCTCACCAACACAGCTCTCATTCTCACCAACAACACAGCTCTCATTCCCACCAACAACACAGCTCTCATTCCCACCAACAACACAGCTCTCATTCTCACCAACAACACAGCTCTCATTCTCACCAACAACACAGCTCTCATTCCCACCAACACAGCTCTCATTTCCACCAACACAGCTCTCATTCTCACCAACAACACAGCTCTCATTCTCACCAACACCACAGCTCTCATTCTCACCAACACAGCTCTCATTCTCACCAACAACACAGCTCTCATTCTCACCAACACAGCTCTCATTCTCACCAACAACACAGCTCTCATTCTCTCTCATTCTCAATAACCTGTATGGTTTGTCCAAGCAGGCATACGTTAAAGAGACTGGTGGTTTTTTAGCATTACCCAGATGGTCAGTGTCACCACTCGGGAAGGAGATATGAAGTCCCCACGTCCAAGTTCTTAGCCCAGAGAGACAGGCTGCTGCTCTGCTTGTGAATTTACTACTCATCTGCACAGACATGCTACTCCCTCCCCGCAAAGTCTCCCGTCAGCTTCCCAACCAGACTCTGCTGCAACTTGTCTCAGCCACACATGTGGAGTTTTACCTGCCATCACCTCAGGTGACTGGAAGAACTCATCTGGGTGCACATAGCCCGTCTGCGGAAGGAGACACCACAGCACTCGGAGCAGGCCGAGGCCACCCCAAAGCACCCTGACTGCCATCTTCAGATCCAGTTGTTGCCAACACACCGGGCCCAAAACCTGGAATGATGTCCCAGCTGCTACAGATGCCACGCTGGATCCACAGATCTGCATCTGTTGAGGAAAACACTTGTTGGTTATCACGATGTAAATTACAATATATCCAACTGTCTGAACAAACTCAAAATGGATCTATCATTTAATAAAAATGACAGTAATAATAATAGCTACTTTATACTAAATGCCCACTGACTGCCAGGCACTTGACATGCATATTTCATTGAATCCTTTCCACAGCCTGGGGCAGTGGGTCTCGGTATCCCTGTTTTACAGATGGGAACGGAGGCCTCTGGTGAGTAACTCAGTTACTTGCTGACCATATTTGCTAAGGAGTCTGATGGTTAATTTTATGTGTCCACTTGACTGGGCTAAGAGATACCCAGATAGCTGCTAGAACATTATTTCTAGCAGTGTCTAGAAGGGTATTTCAGGAAGAGATTAGCCTTTGTTTGTCTTTTTTGGTTTGTTTGTTTGTTTTGAGATGAAGTCTTGCTCTGTCACCCAGGCTGGAGTACAGTGGCTCACTGCAACTTCCACCTCCTGGGTCCAAGTGATTCTCTGCCTCAGCCTCCTGAGGACCTGGGATTATAGGCACGTGCCACCACCCCCGGCTAATTTTTGTATTTTTAGTAGAGATGGGGTTTCACCATGTTGGTCAGGCTGGTCTCGAACTCCTGACCTCATGATCTGCCCACTTTGGCCTCCCAAAGTCCTGGGATTACAGGCGTGAGCCACTGCGCCCGGCTGAGATTAACCTTTGAATTGACAGACTAAGTGAAGAAGATCAGCTGCACCAGCGTGGGTGGGCATGATCCAACCCATTGAGGGTCTGAATAAAACAAACACGTGGAGGACGGGTGAATCTGCGCTCTCTTCAGCCGGGATAGCTGTCTTCTCCTGCCCTCAGACAACAGTGCTCCTGGTTCGTGGGCCTTCAGACTCTGTGTCTCACACCAGTGCCCCACAGCCCACCTCCCCGAATCAGGTTCTCGGGCAGTCAGACTAGGCCTGGGAGTTACACTGCAGGCTCCTCTGTTTCTAAGGCTCCCAACCCAGACTGAATTAAATCACCAGCTTTCCTGGTTCTCCAGCTTGCAGGTGTCAGACTGTGGGACTTCACCAGCCCCCATAATTGCATGACCCAATTTTCATAGTAAATGATACAGCCAATTCCCTATTATTTCTGTTTCTCTGGAGAACCCTGACTTATACAGGGTCTAAATATGACATTTGCCCAATGTGACATTTGCAAGAAGGACTAGGGTACCCAACAAATCTGGGTCTTGCCGTCCCATCCTGATCACCAGCTCCTACCCACTTTCCTGACAGGGGACAGAAGCAGTAGCTCCGCTGGTCAGTTTTGCAGTGTTCTAGGAGTCATTCCTGGGGATTCAGCCTACAGCTTGATCACTCAGCACTTCCAAAGGTTTTGTAAGCAGCTAATTCCCTATATTAACTCCTTTTTGCATAAAACATTTAGTTGTTTGCAAACAACAACAACAAAAACAGTGCAAGCTGGCTTCAACAATTCATCATGTTGCCAGGCGTGGTGGTGCATCGCTGTAGTCCCGGCTACTTGGGAGGCAGAGGCAGGAGGATTGCTTGACCCCAGGAGTTGAAGGTCAGCCTGGCAACACAGCGAGACCCCCATCTCTTAAAAGAAAAAGCAGGAAACAATTCATCATGTCCATAAAAAAGCAGCCAGGCTTGGTACTGCCAGGGTCCCTTGCCGCTTCTCAGGTCAGCCTTGATGCTGCCTTTCTCTCTGTGTGGACATAATCCTCTGTTCCAGCCATCCCAGCCAGACATGCCAACACTGAGAAGTGTCTGTATTTTTGAGGCTGTCTCTTTTTAAAACAGGTTTATTGAAATATAATTAATACACCATGCAACTCATTTAAAGTATACAATTCAGTGGTTTTTGGTATATTCGTAGGCAGGTGCAACCATCACCACAGTCAATTCTAGAAATTTTCATCACTCAAGAAGAACCCCATATCCTTTAATTCTGTCAATTTTAGTTCATTTGTGAAGCTATATTATTATATTTGTAGAAGTTTATCATTGTTATGCCTTATTGGAAAATTGAATATCTTATCATTATATAGTTATCTTTTAATCTCTAGTTCTGTTTTGTCCTAAAATGTATTTTGCCTGATATTAATTTGCTATACACACTTTTTGGAAATTTAGTATTTACCTGGTACATCATTTCCCACCCTTTTCGTTTCTTTCTGTTATTTTTATTATTTTTTCCAGATAGTCTCGCTGTGTTGCCCAGGCTGGAGTGCAGTGGCGTGATCTTGGCTCACTGCAACCTCTGCCTCCTGGGTTCAAGAGATTCTCCTGCCTCAGCCTCCCGAGTAGCTGGGACTACAGGCGCCTGCCACCATGGCTGCCTAATTTTTGTATTTTTAGGAGAGACAGGGTTTTGCCATGTTGGCCATGCTGGTCTCGAACTCCTGACCTCAGATGATCTGCCCACCTCGGCCTCCCAAAATGCTAGAATTACAGATGTGAACCACTGCACCTGGCCAATTTAGTGTTATTATTGATACATTTATTTCTACCATCTTATTTTGTGTTCACTTTTCTTGTTTTTTTAAATTTTTTTTTGTCCTTTCTTGCCTTCTTTTGGAATAATTTTTCTTCTCTTTTCCCTCTAAAAGTTTGGAAGTTACATATACTCAGTTTCCAATATGCTATAAAATGCCATATATTATCTAATATTTTAGTAGTTAGCATACTATGTTGTGTGTCTTCACTATGATGATTCTGGGTGCACATTTCTTTTTATTTATTACAGTTGAAAATTTTTTGGCTTCTCAAACCTGTGGATTAGGACCCTTTGTCATTTATAGAAAGTAGTCCATTAGACTGTATGCTGCTGATAAAGACACACCCGAAACTGGGCAATTTATAAAGAAAAAGAGGTTTAATGGACTCACAGTTCCACGTGGCTGGGGAGGCCTCACAATCATGGTGGAAGGCAAAGGCACATCTTACATGGCAGCAGGCAAAAAGCAAATGAGAAGCAAACGAATGAGAAGCAAGCAAAGGGGGTTTCTCCTTATAAAACCATCAGATCTTGTGAGACGTATTCACTACCATGAGAACAGTAGGAGGGAAACCACCATCATAATTCAATCAACCTCCACCAGGTCCCTCCCACAACACATGGGAATTATGGGAGCTGTAATTCAAGATGAGATTTGAGTGAAGACACAGCCAAACCATATCATAGACCTTCTCAGTCTATCTTCCATGTCTCTTTAAGTTCTATTTCATATTTTCCATATCTTTAGCTCTCTTGGCTATATGTCGGGTAAGTTCTGTTCTATCTTCCATGTCTCTAATAATTTCAGCTGTATCTAGATGTTAAACCTGTCTCTTGAGTTTTAAATTTCAGTTGTTATATTTTTCATTTCTACAAGTTGTTTGTGTTTTTCCACATCTGCTTGCTCTTTTGTGATATTTTCAAGACTCTTTTATTTATTAAATGATATCAAACATACTTGTTGGATATACTAGGTTTGATAACTCCAGCATCTAAAGTCTGGGTCTGAATCCGCTGTCTTTTTTCTACTGGATCTCACCCATAGTGCCCTGTTTATTTGTATATTTAGTGAATTATTTTATTTAGGGGCTGCTCATTTTCTTTGGAATATTACTGTGGGAATTCTTTGAGGTCAGGGATGAAGGCAAATTTCTGAGTTCCACTTGAAAGGATTTACACTTGCTTCTCTCAGGTAACTGTGGGAGCATTACAAGCCTAGGACCATTTCTAATCAAATTTTTGGCTCCAGGTTTGTGTGTGTGTGTGTGTGTGTGTGTGTGTGTGTTTGCTTATCTTTTAGGAAGGGGGACAGTGCCTGGTCATGTAAATTCATGAGGGCAGGCTCATGATTACAAATTCTGAAAGGAGATACCTCACCCCCAGCTCAATTTGATTAGCATCAGGATCCAACAAGGGCAGTTTTCCTTTCAGTCCCATAGGGATGGAATAATTTTTTTCTTTCTTTTTTTTTTTTTTCCCGAGACAGAGTCTTGCTCTGTCGCCCAGGCTAGAGTGCAGCGGCGCGATCTTGGCTCACTGCAACCTCTGCCTCCCGGGTTCAAGCAATTCTCCTGCCTCAGCCTCCCGAGTAGCTGGGATTACAGGCACCTACCACCACGCCTGGCTAATTTTGTATTTTTAGTAGAGACAGGGTTTCACCATGTTGGCCAGGCTGGTCTCGAACTCCTGAGCCACCTCGAACTCCTGAGGCGTGAGCCACCGTGCCTGGCCAAATTTATTTCTTAGGCCACTCTTATGTTGGAACATGGCCCTCTGGAGTCACAGTTTCAGGGGAGTCTCCTGTTAGGCTTCCCTCTTGGCGGGCAGTAGGCTTTATCTTCCGTCCTGCTAGTCCCGAGAAGCTACCAAGTTCTGAAAACCTAATTTGCATAACCCAACTTTGAGGGTATCTACCAAAATAGTTTTTTGTTTCCCAGCCTTTACAGTACAGTAACACACCCTAAAAGGAGATAGGAATAGTGGAAGGGGTCCCTGCTGTCAAATGGCAAGCAATGTAGGGGCCTGAAGTGGCCAGTGGTTTGCATAATGCGGAAGCCAAGGAGGCTCTCAAATTCACAGTTTTATATGTGTCCTCAAGTCCAAATCTGGCTCCTGCGCTTTGCATACCTCTCTAAGTCCCTGTCTTCATGCCCAAGTATTACTTACGTTTTATTAGGCTTACATACTATTTTATCCAGCATTTTAGTTATTTTCAGCACTTTATTCTTTTTATAATTCAAGGACAACTTTCCACTTGTGTCCTGTTTAACAACCTTTATTTTTTTTTTCTAGTCATAAACATAATACAAGATTGTTGTAGAAAAAGTAAAAAGTGCAATAAGCCAAAAGGGGAAAACAGAAATTACATGCAGTTCCTATCACTCAAGAAAACACTGTTAGGCCGGGCGCGGTGGCTCACGCCTGTAATCCCAGCACTGTGGGAGGCAGACCTTCAGAAAATTATAAAGAATATATATCAGGCAGAAGGAATAATGGTTCCAGATACAAGACCTGAGACGGAAGTAGGAATAAAGAGTAAAGAAGTTGGTCATTAAATGA